GGCCGTTTGATCAGGGGCGTACTGTAGTCGGAATCGCCTATACACGGGGTATACACACGTCGTTCTCATCAACATTAATACTAAATAATAGTGGGACAAAAGTCAGCTGTTAGTTTGGGAGCCCCCCTCGCATTTATCGAAACTCCCTTTCGCCTACGCCACTGCACACGATAATGACTGTTTTTCACTTTAATCAGCAAACACAAATAGCAACAACAGCCACGATAAGCGCAACAGCAACAGCAACAGCAACAGCAACAGCAACAGCAACATACAACAGCAATGATTGCAGGCAGTAGTCCTAAACTAAGCTCAATGTCTCCAGTAATCCATGTGCTTTGGTATTTGTGTGCTGATTGATTTGAATTGAATAATTGCAATTGTGCGACTTGTATTTGTATTTGCATTATTATTATTGTTATTCGTATTCGTACTCGTACTCGTAACGCCGCATGTCTTTTTGTACATTTCGAGTTCGTTTTTGTGTTTGAATTGAGACTAATGACATGTTGAGATGGATGGCGACCATTTCAATAACCACTAAACCACTAATCCAATACGTAAGTGTTGCCCTCACCCGTTTCATAATATTTCTTTGAGCAGCGCACCAAGTTGTATATTGTAGTTAGACTTTTGCTTCGATGGCATAATAAGTCATACTAAATTCGAATAGTCGCCAATAATTTGGTTTGCTTCGTTTCAATTCTTAAACGTTTGACAAGTGCAAAAAGCAACAAATACACCTAATGAGAATCAAATTAATAAAAATTCTCAAATAATTGAGCTCTTGCCTTGAATCAAAGATTACGAATTTCAATTATTTTTCGTTTGATTAGAAATTGAGAGACTGAGAGTGCCGCAGAATTAAAATAAGGGAGTGCGACAAAATTTCTCAGGGGGATCGAATCGATGAGTTGTTTAAACAGTTGATCTGGTTTTTGGCTGCTTAGCCGGCTGAATTTAATTTTAGACCGTTTACATTAGACATTTGATGGATTTTCCGCTCGATTTGCATTTAAAAATAACACACTGCCATTGTCTTTTGCCTGGAACGTGTATCCAAATATTTGAGTCTGTCTGTCTGTTAAGTGTGGCACATATGTACATGTATAGTACATATATTCGATCCAACCCTTTTGGGGTTTTACCTCTGACGTAGAAGCGTCTGGGCAAATAACTATTCCAAATATATATCGAATATATACACATATATCGAACTATATATGTATGTATGTATGCGTGTGTATACAGATATGTATCTGAAAAAGCGTATACTCCAAAACCAATTAGCCGTCAGTGCGAGAATTAGAATTATATTATATTATTGAGCGATCGTAGGATCGAATTAAACGGGGATCGCAGTCACGCGGTGATAAGCACAAATCGAATTTGTGCATGAAAAATTATGATTATTTCTATTGTTTCTAAACCGATTATCTATCACGTCCCAGATGTCGGCTTATGCTGGTCAATGGATGGTTGTTGACGTGATGCGGGACTCAAAACTATGTGCTCGATAATCGCGTTGGTTATCAGTCAAATTTGTTTGAAAGGTTCCTAAAATAGCCGCTTAAATGTTTTTGTATTTTATACAAATGCTTGCTTGGTGTCTCTTTAAGAAAACAATAGTTTGCAACCACATTAAAAAACCGCAAACCTTATCAATGAATGCGTATATTTATAACCGGCCCATTTATTCATAAAAACTTGTGGTTTTTAACACTGCTAATCAGATCTATTTTTTCTACTTATTTATTTTTCCCCTTTTACGACCTAGTGTTAGGATAAACAACTAAATCTGGCCGCAAAACAAAGTTGATAAAAAATTGATTTCAGCTTGGGTTTGGCCTTTTTCCCGTCGTTGTTTTTTTTGTCGACAAAAATTCTATAAATATATAATACAAATAATAATCATACACATTTTTGTAGGGGCAGATAAAAAAACGAAATCGTGAGCGTTATTTAAAAAATACATTTCTTGTATTCCGTGGGCTTTTTCCGCATATGCTGTTTGTTTTTGGTTGCAGTGTGTGATAAAAAAAAGTATAACAAAGTGCCACCGTACGTGTCGTTTTTGTTTGAAATTATTATGTGCTAAGTATTGGTAACAAAACAAAATCGAAGCGGAAGCTGTGCTGGCTGCTAATTTGTTGTTCATTTGTTTGCTCTGTCAAGAAGCATTTCATTTTTTCATTTTTCATTTTTTCACTTTTCATTTTTCTTCTCCTTTTTGTTTTTTGATAATATTTTCTCATTTTTTCGATGCGTTTTATTTTTGGAAAGAAGACGCGGCCCAAAAGCACTTTGTCTATAAAAATGCACTTCTGCGAAAAAATAAACACATGCCTCATAGCCAAAACAAACGCACTGCAAGTGAGGAGCTGCTGCACTTCGACTCTAACAACAAACAACTGTTGCAATTCCATTTAACATGATTTCTGGGCAAAAACTCGCGCCCCATACAAATGTGTTGAAAAGTATAGTTGTGGAAAAATAAAATGCATTTCTGAAATGAACTGAACACGCGAATAAAGTCTATAAAGTATAAAAGTCTATAAATATTCGAAAATATCCTTTTTCATATAATTTTCATCTGGATTTTTTTTCCCCTTGTATTTTGCATTTTCCTATGCAAGACAACTAGTATTCTTTCCTCAACTGTAGATATATCCCCAGGGCCTCTTCGTTCATATTCCTGTCGATCATCTTTGGCTGCCGCCGCTTCGAGGACAAAAAAATATTGTCGCATATTTATGAACATGTGTAACAGATAAATCTGAATCTACACAGAATCTACACACAGCAGCAGCGCTCATAAGTGATTTAGTTGTCAGTCGAGTGCATTTATCACAGCTGTACATGGATGGTGGTTTCAGAGAAGGGGGCTGATGCAGCGCAGGAGGGGTGTCTTTTGGGGGGGGCGGGGGTGTGGTGGACTTGGAGAGGTGTCGTCCGCGGGCGCCAGTAATCAAACTAATGAGCTTGGGCCCACCATCAGGCGGCAAAAATAGCTTTAAATGGATTTCAAATAAGAAAACGCGCGCAAAACGCGAGCAAAACGCCAGCAAAACGCAGGCTAAAAGCCAAAGCCACCAGTGGTGTGCGCAGAGGGGGTATTTATATATTTCGATTAAAAGAAAAGTTTGAGTTAGCTGTTCTCCTATTTCGAAATCAATATAACCTTTTTATTTATTTTTTGTATATATTTTTTAAATCAGAGCATTTTTTAAGCCCCCGCTTATACGAGTATCTCTTGCAAGCCTCTGGGGGGGTGGTTGGGTGGGTGGTGTGGCCAAGTGAAGTGATAAAACATTAAAGAAATGCGCTTCTCCTTTCCTTCCTTTCTTTCTTTTTGTCCGCTTCTTATTCAGCAACACCTAGGGGTTGCTAATGGAAGAGAAGCTGCCGCTGCTGCTGTTGCACTTAATGGCAAATGATAATGATTGATGCTAAAGTGCAACGTGCCCCGCCCCCGCTGAGTGCACATCTTCGAATCAGCAAAAAAAGCCACACGAAACACTTCAAGTCAAAGCTTTTCACGGGTGGTTTTTCTGGATAAGCAATCAAAAGGGGGAAGGACTCAGTCTTAATTTTGCATTAGGGAAATTGCTGCGTTGCTGGGGACATCTAATAATGGATTTGGTGCTTATAGCACGAATCGGTGTTTGATTTGCGAATATTGACATTCATATCTGCAATAATCTGCATCTTAAGCCCGCAAGTCTTCATTGGTTATGGTTTTTTTTTTTTATCTAGCCCATCCCATTTTATAATGCTACATCCTGCTTCCGCTCCCACTTGGTATTGTGTAAACAAAGGCATTCAACAAATTTGTAGGCGTAAAAATTGTCTTGTCAATATTTTAATGATATCACTTTGCACCCCCTGTTTTTGGTCCTTGTCCTTGGAAGCCCTTCGTCGTTATTTGCCTGTCGCAAAAGTTTCCTTCTAACTTTTTCCCTTGGCTGGATGTTGGGTTGCTATTGCTGTCCCACGGAAAAGGCTCAAAATCCCTGGCTGTATGTTGGTTTTTTTTCGCCTTTTCTTTTTTTTTTTTTTTTTTTGGCCAGCTTGTCCCTTTTTGCCGCTTCTGCTTGTTCTTGGGCGTGTAAAGAAGAAGTCAAAAGTCCCGCCGCTCATTTGTTTGCCTTGTATATACATATATATATATATGAAGTTTTTTTTTTTGTATTTTTCCCGGTTTCGGTTTCGTTGTACTCGGGCAACATTTTTTCTGTTTGGCTAGAAAATTACAAGAAAAGTGGCCGAGTGGTTGGAAAAGTGAGAGGGGGCTTTGTTTATTTGTGCAAGTGTTTTCTCAATTGTGCGTACTGGTTTGGGGGCACGGCGGTCGGTCAGTCGTGCGTCGTCGTCTGCGGTTCTGCGGAAATTCCTCTCCTTGGCCGGCACTCTGGTTAACTTTTTACGCTTCTTTCACTCCTTTTGGCAGTCGGCGGCATCCTTTCCCACTTTGCCGCTTTCCCAGCCGCTTTTCCGCCCCAAATACACACTCGCACATTCCGAAATTCCGGTGTGGGCGGCGACGTTTGTCTAATCTTAACGGTTTTACATTTCATTGCGCCGGGTAATTGTCCGCCGGTGGTTTGGGCAGGGTTTTCAAGGATATTCGACCTTAGTGCGCTACAGTTTATTAAATTAAAAAGTCACTTAAAGTTGCTCTTCTCTTTTCTTTTTTTCACTGAGCAGACTGCAAGTTTTATGTTAATAGGGTTGTGTTTAATCCCCAGTACTTGGACTAACGAGGGGTTAAAGAGGTAGACTTTAAGTCGAAACATGTGCACTAGCTCGGCAAGGAGCTGTAACCTCTGGTTAAAGGTGTTTAAACAGTGTGCATATAATACCCTATTTTTGGGATACATTTGGGATTTTGTAAGCTCAATGGTTAGGGTAAACGATTGCCCAGCCGAAAGGAACTCTACTGCTAACCAGCACCTGCCCACCGATGATTCCCACTTAACCTCCGGTTAGTTGAAACTTACCTCTTTATCTTTGGCAGCTAGTAGGACAGCAGGCTGGCCATTGTTGTTGTTATTGTTCTTCTTCTTGCGCTTCTCGCTGTTGCCGCTGCTGCTGTTGTTGTTATTGTTGTTGTTGTTATTGTTGCTATTATTATTGTTGTTGTTGTTGTTCGTGTTGCTGGTGGCGGTGCTGCTGGTGTTGTTGTTATTGCTGGTATTCGTATTGTTGTTGGCGCAATCATCGTCCTCCGCTGAACTGGCCACATGTTGCTCACTTTCATTGCCACCATTGTTGTTCTTTCGACTACAACTATTATTGCTATCGGTTGTATTGTGATTATTGCTAACATTTAAACTAGCCTCCCCCGCATCCTTGTGCTCCTCAAGATCCTCTGTATCTTGCTGCTCCTGCTGCTGCTGCTGCTGCTGCTGCTGTGTTGTTGCACTTGGCTCAGTTCTGGTTTCTTGCTGTGCATCCAGCTCCATGTCATCAGCATTCGATTGCATCGAGGCATTCTCCTCCTCATCGTCCTCGTCCTCATCATCCTCCTCGTCCTCCTCCTCCTCGTCCAGCTCCTCCACCTCCTGGTGACTATTGTTGCTGCTGGTGTGATTAACGTTGCTGGTGGCGCCGCCGCTCTTGACATTGCCAGTTGCAATCGTTGCTGCGGCGGCGGCTCCTGCTGCTACCGTTGCCACTGGCTGTTCTGTGGGAATCGCAACTTCGTTCGCCGGCGAGTGGAGGGGTGATTGCTGCTGCTGCTGCTGTTGCAGTGCCGCCGCTGCTGCCGCGGCTGCCGCCTCCATCATCATCATCTGCTGGGCGTGGTTGAAGAAAAGCTTGGGATTGAGGCAGGCGCCGCCAACACCGCCAACACCGCCGCTCTGTTGCAAACTGCTCTGCAACTGCTGCTGCTGCTCGGCGCTGAGCAACGGCGGCGAGGGCGACGGCGTGTTTGTGTTTGCCAGCAGATTGCTGCCGTTCTGCTGCTGCAGCGTTATGGCCGCTGCAACAATGGAGCTGTTCAGCAGCTTGTCGCTGTCGCTGTCCAAAATGCCGCCGCTGGCCGTCTGCTGCAACTGCTGCAACTGCTGCTGCTGCTCGTCGTCGATGTCGCTTGTTGCTGTTGCTCCTGCAACAACTGCTGCAACTGCTGCTGCTGTTGCTGCCGCTGTTGCTGCCGCTGTTGCTGTGTCGCTGTTCTCGCTGTTGAGATTGCTTTCGGGATTGCCGGTGGATAGCTGCTCCTTGAGTGTGTTCACTTCCTTTTCGGCAAGGGTTGCGCGCTGCAAAAATAATAATTGATTGATGCATTAATAGGAGCGTTTAATGTAAGCTTTCAAACAGATATAATTGAATTATATTTAGCCAGAAACGGCTGGAAGGAACCATCATCGCTCGCAAAAGCTGTGCACATATGTTGCTTTTAGCACGAACAAAAAGCTAAAAGTTTACACACCCCATTTACACGCCTGCCTCATTCAGACTTTGCCAACTATCGACCCTCATTAATTTTACTTTTAAAGTCATTACGGGTTAAATTTAGCCAAATTAATACGTTGCAAAAACTTTTGTCGGCCCCGAAAATGCCAGCACCAAGCACACAATCACACAATCACACAATCACACGCCAAATAGGCCAAAAGGAGTCAGGAGTCAGACGGGAAGGCTTAAAAAACATTCCGGGCTATTTCCGTCTGCATTAGCAACCAAAACAACAACAAGGATCTAGAGCCAGGACCAACAAATTTATAGTTTATCGTCGGTATCGATAAGCCCAACTTGAAAATGTTCCCTGCTATTAGTGACCTGACCTTCGATGGTCTTGCCTGCCTGCAAGTCTCTTGCTCTGAATTCAAATGCCAAAATGCGAAATGAAAACAGCAAAACAGAAAGCATTGGGCAATACAACAGAATGGCAAAAATAAACACAAAAAAAAAGGAAAGAGAAGAAGAGAGTACAGAACTCCCGAAGAAGGTTACAAAAATATGCGGTGCAAACTTTTTTGGCAAATTAGTCTGGGACCCAGACCAGAATCAGGATCTCCCCCTTAAGTTTTAAGGCTTCCATTCCATTTTGCCTAAGCCCAAGCCAAAACACCCAAACACCAAAACACCAAAACACCAAATGGCAATGACTTTTGCTTCGATTTTCCGTTGATTTGTTCGGTTTGGCCTGGGGTTTTTGTGCAATTTTATTTGTATAAATACCGGAAGCTTGCAAAAAACCAGGACTTCGGTGGGCGTTGCAGGCAATAAAGAACTTTGGAAATTAGTCGGTGGGCTAGTGCTGCTGCTTCTGCCGAAACTACATATTTGGTGTGAGTCTTAAGCCTTTGCCTTGCCTTTAGTTCTTGGCCAAATTGTAGTACTTCATATCGATGAAGGTCCTTCTGCCTCCGATTTTCCGAATAAAGTTAAGCAGGAAGTCGTTACACAGAGCGTGGAAATGGGTGAAAGGGTGCTAGATAGTTGAGTTTTGTGGGCCGTGCGAATGCGATATTTCAGCTGTCCTGCATACTTCGAGTATTGTTTAGATCTCTGGCTTTAAAAGGTCGCCAACATGAAAAATTGTCATATTTTCAACAACAATGGCATTTTTTGTTGTCTATCTATAACTTCCCCCAATGGCGAGAACCCGAACCACAAATCGTTCGACGTTCGATGGTTTTGAGTGCGCTTAATGACAATATCCATGGGAAAACCGAATGGCAGAAAGAAAATCGTGTTTCCTGCCCTGCCAGGCATATTTGTCAACATCATCATCCTCATTACGAGGGCATCGAAGGAAGGAGTGGAGTCTCGCATAGATATATATTTATGATATTTAAAAGCTCTTAAGTACAAACAACAGACAAGTGGTTGGGTGCAGTTTTGTCCTTCGTCCGACGTCCTTTCGAATGCCAGACACACTGGCAGACAGCTGGAAAGTGGGTGGGCTTGGGCGGCTTGGCTTCTCTCCATCTCCATCTCTCTCTCTCTTTCTCCCCCTCTCCCCCTCTCCCTCTATCGCTCCCGGTGGTTCAGTGGTTGCTCTGTTTTAAGACCTCGGTTAGCGGCTGCTGCTGATGCCACTGTCTTGTTGTTGCCGGTTGTCGTTTCCCGTGAGCTGCTTAAGCTTGAAAATTGTTTTCATAATGGCCAAGAGTGAGCGGCTGTAGAGGATACTTTTCCGTTTTCATTTTCATTTTCATTTTGATGCCCGGTTTCCATTTCTTTCGCTGACTTTTTGCTGGACCAAAACGACCAACAAAATCGATCAAACTGAAAAGCAATCCACGTGGGAAAGGCAGCACTTGTTGGTGTCCACTTATTCACGTTTTCCACCTCGCAAAAATAGTTTCTTGGAAATTGTACTCTACGCAGTCTGGGCGAATCAATTAATGCCAGCCAGTCCAGCGATTCTGGCCCACTTTGAGTTCGGCTTGGCAGCAGTTGCCAACCAAATGAGTTAATTAACTAAAATGCGGGTGGCTTTGCCGAGAATTCTTTTTTTTCGCCCCCAGTTGGAGGGGTTTTCCTCTGTTTTCTTTTTTTTTTTTCGGGACTCTATCCACTTCAATGGCTCTCGTCCTCGTCCTCGTCCTCGTCCTTTTGGCCCGTGTGTGTGGTCAGCTTATGGCAGGGCAAGGCTTTTCGTATTGAGCACCCTTTTAGCGTGCCCCCGCTCCGCTTTTATTTTTTGGGTTTCATTTAATATTTTGCCGGTTGCCACTTCAAAGGAGCTTTCCAAAAAACAAAAAATTTATATATATATAAATTTATATATGTATATATCGCAGGGAAAAGCGGGTAAACCTCTGGCGCGCGAACCAAAAATGTTAAGTGAAATGTTAGCCGCTCGTCTAAGGGTCTGTTAAAATTCCAGTCATACTGCAAATTGAATTGCAATTGGGCATGGTTATGGATGGCTAAATGATATATTTAAAAAAGCTACTGGGCTTTTTTTCATTAAATGTAGCACTGTGCTAGCGGGTTTAAGTGGATTAAATTTGGCTGGCATTTCTATGGCTCATTTGCTTCGGCTTCAGACTGCAATTGTATCAACTATCGGCAGTCCAACTTAAAAGTCCTTATCCCATTTTGAACGCCTGCTTCTGTTTCTGTTTCTGATTCAGATGCTGTATTTTATTTTTTTGTTCTTTATAATGTTAGCGGTGTGTGTGTGTGTGTTTGAGTTGCTTGCTTGCAATTGTCGTGTGCTTGGCACATGTCAACTCATTCGCCAAAACCCCTTGCACCATGCCCCCTACACATTTTCCACACCCTCCGAAGTTGCAGCATGCGGCATTGTCTCAAGCTGTTTGTCTGAAGTGAGTTTGCCTCAAGACCCGCGAACGGGGAATACTCTCTCTCGTTGGCAAGGAGCACAGCAGCTGCTGCGAGGACTTCGGGACCTCAGGATTTCTGAGCTCTGAATTTCTGGGTTTCATGATTCCCGCACTTTTCTTCTTTTTTTTTAGAAGGGAGGTTGGGCGAGAGCACTTTTTGTAATTAGTACGAAGGCAATGTTATGAATTGTGCTTCAACTTAAGCTCGAGTGCCTTCATCTTCTTCTCCTGGTTTTCCAGGGGGCCTGTTCAACCCCCTGTTGCCCGAAAAGGGTAGCTACATGGTTGGACTTGGGAAGGGGTAGCACGCGAGGCAGCAGCATTGTGCGGTTTTTGGACAATAAATCAAAGCAAATCAATGCAACAGCAGATGGAGTAGAGGAATGGGGTCTTGAGGGGGTTAAGGTGGCACACGCCGTTACTTCTTTGAAGCCAGTATACCTTGCTGCCTAGTTAGCTGCAAGAAGTTGAAGGACTCTTGAGAAGTCCCTCCCTTAACCCATGACTGCCACTTAAACGCCTACATGACATGACAGGCTGTCGTGGGGAAAATGCTGTGTCCCCAATCCCCATAAAAAAAACGAGCAGATGACGACTAAGAACCCAAAGCGTTTTTTACAATTACACACACATTAAACAGCACAAGCCAAAGATAAAGCTTTATGCGAGTGGCAGAAGGCTACAAGGGGTTAAATATAGATATGTGGTGCCTGTCTAATGAGAGCGGAAAATTATTGTAGCCTCGCATTTGGCGCAGACGAAGAAGCTGGTTGGAAAACATGGAAATGGTGGTTAGGCTGGTGCTTTTATAGCCTCAAATGCTAAAATAAGAAACTAGAAAATACTGAAAATGTTGAAAGATGTTTCGAGAAATCAAAGAACATAACATTGAATAAGTACAACTTGCGATTAAACTCTTTCTGTGCAAGCCTTTCCCTCCAAACGCGATTTAATAATCCCTCCTCATCGTCCAAAGCGCATTTAAGTAGCTCAACTGTTATCCATTAATTGCTCGGTCTGCTTTTCGACTTAATACTCCAGGAACTCCTGCTCGAAACCCCCAACTTTTTGTTGCCCCCCACCCACTTGGAAAGTATTCTTCAGATTCGGGGCATGCCTTTGCATTTGCTTTACAATTTCAAACATCATTAGCAACGCACACAGAGGAGGTTTTTAAAGGGGTTGTGGGTAAAACACACGCACACATGTGCACACGAAATATACATATATCCCTTTTTGCTAATTATTTATTTAAATATTAAACAAAAATCCCCAAAACACACACAGAAGGAACGAGTTCAAACCCCACCTCACAAGAAAAAAAATAAAACTGCAACAAAACGGAAAAAAGCTAAATGGAAAGAGTGGCATAAAATCAACACATACAGAGGAAACACCACTCACTCACACACACACACGCAAAGGAAGAGAAAAGACGAAAATGATGTATTGATGCTGAAAGAGAGGGGGCGATGATATGGGAATCCTGTCTGCACACAAATAAAAAACACTCGCACACACAAGACAAGGAGGAGTAGAAGAACAAAAGAGCGAGATAGAGAACGATATGGCTGTGTGTGCAAATACATAACTTTACATTCGCTGAGATACCGTTAGAGATGTGAGCGCTTGTGCCTCCTCTTCTTTTGGCTAACTAATATTTTCTAATTTTAAATTCTGTTTCTTTTTTATTGCCTCACACGAGCACACACACTCACATTGTAACTCCCTCAACACACACACACACACACACACATAGACGCACACATGTAAATTTATAACATTTTCTATTTACTTATCAAAAATCAGGCAAAGGCATTGAGAAGGGGTTGCTGTTTTTTATTTTACTTTGTTTTATGCTTTTTTTGCATGGTGGGGGGTTGTTGGTAACTGAAAACTGCGTGCACGCCCAAATGTATGCTATACAAAATATAAATTAGCTTTGATATGCGAAG